AAATCCATGACTGCCATCTAGTTAAAACAGAATCAATGCAGGGAGAAAAAAAAAAAAAAAAACAACAACTCACCAGGAAACAACCATTTTGATCTATTTATAGCAGCTTTCTCCTATGTAGCATTTACTAAAGGTCAGGCACTATGTTAGGCACTTCAAGCATGTTATCTCATTTAATCCTTACAACCTCATGAGTCAACACAAAATTATCGCTCCTATTTTACAAATAAAAATATGAGCCTGGAAAAAGTTGACTTCAAAGTCACATGGCTGGCGAGGGTCCCGGGTTCTCTTCATCACTGGCCTTCTTCCTGACATGTGCTTTTGCACATGGTCCTTGGGGCAGAGGCAAACCTGTCCGTCTCTTTCATCTAAACGAGAAATTTCCCCTTGAATTACAACAGGTTTCTTCTGGGTATTCTACAAAAAGGAAAATGCACGTTGGGAGAGCCCAGCCATAATTGGGTGTTGCAATTCCCTTGAAAGTAAATAGGAAGTAGCATATGCCAAACCTTTTCAGCACACATCTTCACCAAGAGTGGGCTAATATGTTGTTAGTCACTTTTCTTCCTTGAACTCTTGCTACTTCATTAAAAAATATCTGTCTTCCTCTGACTGTGAGAATAGGGCTTACGTGGTCACAGAAGTGATTTTCAAGGTCGTCATGAGAAAACACCACGCTCCCTCAAACCAGGCATACTACTGGAGGTCAGATGGGGCACTTCATTCATTTCCTGAAATTACTTAAGCCCTTGAAACTGATACTGATCTGCAAGTTCCTGGATGTTCTAAACATCCAAACCACAATGGATTATGGAAAGAGAAGGTCTCAAACTGGTTCTATGGCATTACCCTAGTGGGATTTTCATTTCCTACTATAAATTTTTTTAATGTTGATTTATTTTTGAGAGACACAAAGACAGAGTGTGAACGGGGGTGGGGCAGAGAGAGAGGGAGACACAGAATCCGAAGCAGGCTCCAGGCTCTAAGCTGTCAGCACAGAGCTCTACACGGGGCTTGAACCCATCAACCGTGAGATCATGACCTGAGATGAAGTCGGACGCCCACCCGACTGAGCCACCCAGGCGCCCCATTCATCTATTATAATGAGCAAGTTGAAATTCAAGAATTTGACAAAATCTCAGTGAAGACAAAGAATTGTAAAGCTGAACAGGATATGATGACCCTCGCTTTAAAATCTACAGGAGATACCCAGCTTCATTCATTCCTTAACTATACGTTAATGTTCAACAATCCTTTTTAGTGACTTCCCCTAGAGGCTCACTTCCACTGGAAGTTTCTGACTTACGAGTTTATTTACAAATAAACACACTTTGATTATCCTTTTAATGAATTGCTTTTATTGAAAAGCATATGAAGGCACCCAGGCAGACTGCCATAGAAAACCTGATTTGCGTGGTCTGGGGTCACTTTTCCTAATCATTAAACAAAAATAACAGCCACCATCATGAAAACCCTTAAAGACTTAGCAACGTGAATACTGCAACAGTAAAAAAATAAATCAATAGACATTTTTAAATAAATAAGTAAAAGTAACTTATTATCATCTTGAAAGTAAGGCACACATTTAGCATTTACATTACAAGTCAAAGTAATTATTTGAGTTCAATAAGCACTGATTTTTATCATTACCCATTAGTTATAATACTTTGAAACCCACACTTCAAGGTTGTTTTAAAAATACAAAGGACTCGCGTATACGAACCCATTAAAACACACAAGAGCCACTTGGAAATTATTGATGAAAGAGCAGACCCAGGCTGGCTGACTAGTGACTATGTCCCCAACGTGGCCGCAGAAAGAAGTTCCTGCTCAAACCTCAGAACACGCCTCCTCCCCTTAAGTAACTTACCGGTTGATGCCTTCTTCCGGAAGTCTGAGGTGGAGGAAGGGGAGTGTGAGAGGCGTGGAAAGTGTGAGTAGAAGAGGGAGGGCTTCTCTCAGGTAGGGGCCAGAGGCAGGAGCCCTCAACCCTGTCCAGGCTTAGAATGACCTAGAAGCGTTTTACCCCTCCCCAAACCAATTAATCAGAGTCTCTGGGGATGGTGTTTGGTGCTAGGTATTTATATAGCACAGCAAGGCTAACAGCCAATGGTTCATAGGTGACCAGTGAGAAACGTTCTGTATACACTGAGGCCAAACATGTTCGAGATCCTCAGACACAGTGGTTCTTAAACTCAGGTGCATCAGAATCTCTTGGAAGACTTGTTCAAACACAGATTGCTGAGCCCTACCCCCAGAGTTTCTGATTCAGTAGGTCTGTGACCACCAGGCCCAACATTTGAATATTTAACAAGTTCCAGGTGATGCTGATAATTGCTGATCTGGGACCACACTTTGGCAGTCAATCGGCTGAGGCCACCACCCTTCCCCAGCCAATCGGCTAAGGCCATGATCCCTATAAACCTTTGTGCTTTTGAAACTCGCTCGCTCTCTCTCCGGCATCTCACCGCTGCATCGGTGCAGGTAGGAGATTGAGCTCGAGCTAGCTCGAATAAAGGCTCTTTGCTTTTGCATCAGACTCGGCTCCCTGGTGGTCTTTGGGGATCACGAATTCTGGGCATAACATTGATTGATTGACTGATTGCAAATTCTGTCTATACAATCTATTATTCAGGATCATCAGAGTGGAATGTCAGAAAACCAAAGACAGAATTTTGTCCCAAGCTACCACCACTTTGCAGGCATAATCTGGTTTCACCCCAGCTGCCTTCCAATTTTGTTCTCTACTGATATACAGTACTTTGACCAATGACATTCCAGGAAGATGGGTTCCACAAGTCAACAAGTGCAATAAAAATCTGGGGAAGAAGAAACCATGGAGGACCAAGGAAACAGAATCTGCTCTAACCCTAGAAAGCTGTCCTCTTTCTCCCTTTCCTTTTCAAATTAATTTTTCCATCTTGTTTTTCAATGTTATGCCCAGAATTCATGATCCCCAAAGACCACCAGGGAGCCGGGTCCGATGCAAAAGCAAAGGGCCTTTATTCGAGCTAGCTCGAGCTCAATCCCCTACCTGCACCGACGCAGCGGTGAGATGCCGGAGAGAGAGCGAGTTTCAAAAGCACAAAGGCTTTATAGGGATCTAGGGGCAGTTGGTGGGGTCATGGTCGTGGCCTTAGCCGATTGGCTGGGGAAGGGTCAGAGTCCCGCTGGGCAGGTTGCCGGGCATGGTTTGAACCAGAAGTTTGAACAGGTGAGCGTGAAGTTACTCAAGGGGAGGAGGCGTGGTCTGAGGTTTGAGTGGGAATTTCTTTCTGTGATTTTCCCGGAAAGGGGGCCATGGTGGGGTTGTAGTCACTCAAGATGGAGGACACAGAACAAAATGGAGTCGGCCAGCCTAGGTCCGCTCTTTCATTCACTACCCCTGTTCAACGCTCCCTCTAAACTTCCCAAACTCCTGACTGAGGTCTAGACCGAATTGTAATGCATGCACACACACGTACACAGCCGTGGCCAGCGAGGCAGGCACATCCACACCTTAAACTTGACAAGCATAATAAGAAGAGGAAATTATGGAGGCACATGGCAGTGTATTAAACCGTGCCCATTTCCAGAGGGCAAGGTTTTGGTGCCTCTTACCCCCACTTACACCACCATATTAACTTAGACTGCCAGAGACCAAAACTCATGGGACCCTTGAACATCAAAGGCCATTAGCGCCACATCACCTACTGGTTCCTGGTTTTGCATTTCACGTCTCAGCCGCTCAGTCTTACTCATGCCTTGCTTGCAGGGCCATTCACATCCATAGTATGAAAATGGATTTGTTCATTTGTCTAACTGAGAAAGTTTAAAGTCTAGAACAGCTAGATATACTTTACTGGTGACGTACTAAAGGCCCATGCATCTTTAATAAATCCCCCCCTTCCCAGAAAATGTGTCCTTCCATAGCACATCGTCCAAGGCACTATGATCAGACTCGTAACTACAAATTACGATTATTTATATGCACAGTCCCCTTCCCCGTCATACTGTGAACTTCTCAATGTCTCCTCATTTCGGCAGCCACCACCCACACTCCTCTGTCCCTCTAACTCTTCGTGGTGACTTCCTGGCATTTCCTATCGACTTTTTAAATAAGTGTAAAAGTGAATGAATAAATGACCTTTGATTGTCCTTCATGTGAATGAATGCCTTGCCCCTCAAGAAAAATATGGCACGTGTTATTTTGCAACTAGTCTGTACCACAAAGTAGGTAGGCATCCTGAGATACGAATTACTTCCTCAGTCTGACCTTATTGACTCTTTCTACTGTACAGTGAAGGAAAGGCAGCAGGCTTCCTGTTTGCTCACAGCAAACCTTCCTGCCTTTTACTGCATTTTGGAGCTGGCTGTCAATTTCTCGATGATTCTCTTCACACAGAAATGCAGCTTCGTACGTTGGCAAGGCTGCACTGCCACAGGAGAATCCGCATTTTCTAGCCTGTTCGAAATGGCCTTTGTTCTTTGTCAACCCTGTTCAAAATTAAGGTGTTCTGGAGAAATCTGCAGTTGATCTTGGGACTCAGGCAGAAACCAGAATGGCATCAACATCACTGGTTGTTCACAGTGATTGGATACCTTTGAAGAATATATTTTATAAATAAATGACCACATTTTCTTTAGAATAGAGGCTCGTATATCTTAAATAACATTTCCCACCGTAGCCATGATTTGTGGTAGGATTGAAATGATTGAATTGGGTAGTCTAGATTTTCAAAGTCAGACATTCCCACCTTCACAGGAATTTCTGGGGAAGAAAAATGCGTCACAGGTCAGAGGGCTTGGGGTGAGAAGCGGCAGCCCACAGATCCAGTTTCCAAGTTCCCACTACGGATATGATATCCAGCAACAAGAGCCTTGCCTCTGGAGAAGAAATAGGCCTTCCAGAGAGTCAGCTGGAAAAGAGAAACAAAACCGCCAGCCGAAATGGGCTTCACCCCCTTGAGGCTTACATAACCATTGTTTTTAAGTCTTTGGACATCAGTGGGTAGAGGGGCACTTTGAAGCTACATTTAATGTTTTCTCCAAGTACAAAAGAAAATGTAACTGCCAAATTATAAATCAAGGCTAAGGTATTGCCAAATGGCTGTGAGAATAATATAAAAAGGGTTTCGTTTGTCTGTTTGCTTTTTGTTTTTGTTGTGTTGTGTTGTGTTTTAGCTTCTGCACACGCATGGTCTGGCAAGGCCGGCAGTGAAAATTTAAAGAACAATCTGATATCTGAAGAAGTCTGCCCTTGGCAAGGTAAAGGCAACACCTGACTGATATATTGGCTTCCCACTGAGGTGTTGCAGTTAAGAAAAAAAGGTTCATGCATTTGCCTCAGGTAAGTGAGTCTCACTGACTGAGAGGGAGCCATGAATCCCGGGGCTTACAACTCCAGAAATCTTCTGCAAAGAAACACGTTTAGAAGTTTAAGAGAGGTAGACTACCTGAGCTGTTTCTTACCAGCACATTACCAGGTCTTTTGCAGTATTTGTATGCAAATACATCCAGACAAAAGATGTTATTGTCTGGGAGACTTTGGAGGAATCAGGTTCCATCACCTGGAGGCTAGTGGTGGTCAACCTACAGAAAGCAAACAATAGTTCCCAGACCTCACTCACTTGGGTTGGTGTATTATGCTTGATTCCTTCAATGCTATTCTACTCTCGTCCTTTTAATTCCTTTTGCAAAGCTCATTTGCCATAGACGGGATTGAAATGTCGCACCCTGGGCTTTCCCCAAGCATAGTAAACGCTGTGGGTTGATATATAAATGGAAATTTACCAACTCATATGAAGGGTCTCTTGGGGAGACAGAATTTGAACGCAAATTCAGATAAATTTAGGTTTACAATTAGGAATGGTCTGGATTCGGTTTGGAGTTTTGAGGTAGAATATGTAGGCTCTGCTTCTGTTGACTTAAATTATCCAGAAACCTTTATTTTCCAAATACATTTTTCCTCCTTTATTCATTGTCCTTAGGAATTAGCTATTTAAAATTATCTACTTTGCTCAGATGTATATAGGAACCTACTTCTAATAACCTGGTTAATAAACTCCTTTATTAGATAATAACTTTGAAAATCATTACAACAAAGAATGAGGTCCCAAGTCCAGTAATTTGAAAATACTGTTAGACATATACTCAATATAATAGTTCTGTATTTCTAGAAGGATGCAGCTCTCATTTTAAAACATAATACAATTTTTAGCTTAAAATAAAATGATGGGTCTGGTCTGGCACGTAAGAAGGCTGGAAATTGTCACACCATCCTAACAACAAGTACAAAACTGATCAAAGATCAACAACTCTTCTTAGCTCTGCCAAAGAAAATTGCTACCACCGAAATTGGAGACATAAACCAGGAAACACAGAGAGTCACGAGTTATCAGAGCAGAAACCTCCATGAAAACCAGAGCCAGGGTAGAAAAATCTATACTGTCACTGACAATTGCTGGACACTTATGTGGACAAGTCCGAGAGATTAAAAACAAAACAAAAGAAAACAAAACGAAGAACAAAACAAAAACTCCAGGGGACTGCATGTTATCTCTTTAAGATTCTGATTTCAATTCCTTTCGACATATACCCAGAAGTGGGATTTCTGGATCATATGATAGTTCTATTTTTAATTTTTTGAGACACTGCCATACTGCTTTTTCATACTGCATGTACCAATTTACATTCCCATAAACAGTAAACAAGAGTCTTCCACATCATCACCACATCCTTGCCAACACTTGTTATCTTTTGTGCTTTGGGTAATCGACATCCTAACAGGTATGAAGTAACATGCCGTGGTACTGGTCTCAAAGGTGTGTCTTATTCTCTTACTGATCACGATGTTCGATACTCTTTGACTGATGATCCGAAACCATGGGAAGAGGCATCAGTAAGGTTCTGAAAAGCAATTACCTATGCTGGCTTCTTTGCCAGTCAAGAGACCAGGGAACATGAATGTTTACGTCAAAACCATCAAGTCAGAAATTCAGCTGAAATTCACTTAGAGAGCTCTCATTTATGGTTGTAGAATCCAAAATGCAGTTTTGCAATACCAGACTACTCCTTCAGAGTGAAACCCAACCTGTGATGTGAGCTAACATTGACTCACTGCCTAGACTGAGAAAGGCCCTGGGCTAGAAACCTTACAAATATGATTTCTTTTATCTCCCTAGCTTCTAACCCCCATTCCACGGATGGGAAAACCGAGGCTCAGAATTTAAAGCAATCTATGTAAATTCACATGGATAAGGAGTAGTACTGGACTTAGAATTCAAACTGACATGCATGTGATTTGAAATCTATGTCCTCCCCCCCAGAACAGATCAAAACATGAACCCGATTCATAGATATTCCAGCAAGGAAACTGAATTAGACGTCAGGACACTTGTGGAGCACCTGGGTGGCTCGGTCAGTTGAGCAGCCAACTTCGGCTCAGGTCACGATCTCATGGTTCATGAGTTTGAATCCTACATTGGGCTCACTGCTGTCAGCACAGAGCCTGCTTTGGATCCAATGTCCCCATCTCTCTGCCCCTACCCCACTCACACTCTCTCTCTCAATCTCTCTCTGTCAAAAATAAATAAATCATTTTTTTTAATTAGAAAAAATAAAAGAGGTCAGGACACTTGTTCCCAGCACACATCTTGACCAGTTATGTTACCTGGATAAGCCATCTCCTCTCTCCGAGCCTCAGTTTTCTCATGTGTGAAATGAAAAGCTCTAAAACGATCTTTAATTACAGTATAGCTCAACATGAAATAAGTGATTATAAAAAAATAAATTAACATTAAACAATCCCTATTAACATTCATTTTGGAGACAATATGAAAGGCAAATACTTAATGACAGAAGCATCTAGACCAAAGCTGACGGCATTAACAATAGAAAAAAAAATCCTTTACTATTGTTACAAATCATTTAAGTTTAAAATTTTGACTTACCTTTTCACAGGCTCACAATGTCTTTAGTTAGCTGCCTCTTAAGCTTCTCTTGCTACCTCTGATTCAGCCTAAGCAAAACACCTTTCCTGCTTTGGCCAGTTTCTATTATCTCTTTTTATCAGGATCTTGGTTTGATATCCAGCCCAGTCAGTCCATGAGGACACAGATATCAATGAAATTCTGACGCCAATATTATGTTGTGTTCGTAAACTTTCTTCCCTTCAGCCAAACCACATGGTCACCAAATATTTGAGGAGAAACTCATGTTGGACAGAAGCATTCGAGAGAAACCTGAGAGCAGTGTATGCTTCATCACTGGCTCTCTCTGGAGATTCACACCCTTTTCACCAACACAGGCTGGGGACAGTTGTGTAACTCATAGAGAGCCTATGGTTCACTTCGAGCCTCACTTCACTTACAAGTTGAAGTGTGTGGATAATCCAGAATCCCAGATTCACTGGAGACTAACAGACTATGTTTTTTCACACCCTCATGCCTCTGACAAATCTCATAATGTCCTCTACCATTTCACAATCCTAGAAAACTTTGATCCATATTTTTGTCCTTGGTTTAATCATCCACCTTCTCTGGAAGGATCGTCCCTATATCATGGCTGCTAGTTATGGGCCGACTATTTGTTCCAAAGGTATTTTTATTTTAACACCTGCTGTATTTTTTTTAAATTTTTTTTTTAATGTTAATTTTTTATTTTTGAGACAGAGAGAGACAGAGCATGAATGGGGGAGAGGCAGAGAGAGAGGGAGACACAGAATCGGAAACAGGCTCCAGGCTCTGAGCCATCAGCCCAGAGCCTGACGTGGGGCTCGAACTCACGAACCGTGAGATCGCGACCTGAGCCGAAGTCGGACGCTCAACCGACTGAGCCACCCAGGCGCCCCAACACCTGCTGTATTATAATGTAATCATATCTTTACAGATTTGTCTTTGCTCATAGAGCAGAACTTCAGTGATAAGACCCATGGCTAATCTTTCTCTAAATCTTTCAGAGAACCTATCAAAGTACCTAGTATATAAGAGACCCAAATAAAGCATGCTTGGAGTTAATTAATGCATCAAAATACTAATTAAGCATAGACCCCTCTACTTAGTAAAACCTTGAAAGACAAAGAGGCAATTTGCTCTTAATCTCTAAGCAATGTTGTATGATCCACCCAATGTATATTTATGGCGCACCTACTATATGTCCCATGCTCTTTTAGGGTCTGTGAATATAACCAAAAAAATGGATGCAACTCCTGCTGTGTGAAGTATTCCATTAGAATAGAATAGAGACAAGTGGCACAAGAAAAGTCGGGTGTAGTAGATGAGGAATCCTGTGAAAAAAGCAGGAAGAAAATTCTGGATGTGTAAGGGAAGGCAGCTACTTTATATAGGGCAAAATAAGAATGCAGGAGGAGGAAAAGGAGGAGGAGGAGGAGGAGGAGGAGGAGGGGAGCAGCCGAAGTAGCTGCAACAAATAGCAAGTACCATTCGATTTGGCTGATGGATTTATAATTAACCAAGCAATCACACATACATTTTCTGGAATTCAGGGAAGGCGATTTATTAGATTTGCTCGTAACGTGTCTTTCTCCTTGTAGCTCCTGGATATAACATAATTCACTTTACTCTTAACCTATAAGGGTAGCCAACTAGGACCAGAGAGAGAGAGAGATCTTTCCCCATTAGAGACTGACAGGCCAGCGGATCCCTTTGCATATTAGAAAACCAAATGTTCTTACAGTTTCATTGGTTCTGCGTAGGGATCTTTATCCTGCGAAGCTCTGATCTCAAATCAGAACTCTTGTCCCTTCCCCGATAGTGACACCATGTAGCAGTAGCAAACTGTCAGGCAATTTTCTGGCCAGAAAATTTGGTTGATGTTTCAATTGTTCTGAATAGCCTATTATTTGATCGGCAACAGTTGGTTATACTGCCTCACACCTGTGCAGCTGCACATGTATAGGGTGAGGGGCGGGGGTAGGGGCGCAGGGGCGGGGGTAGGGGCGGAGGGTGGGGAAACAGCTGCATAATTGGTCTGTAAAGTGGTGCAGACAGATATTGTAACATTCAGCAAGGACAACAAGGTGTTGAGAGAATGGAAAACTCTAGTAGATGCAGTTAAATAGTTAAAAGCCGGTAGCATATTATTCATGTCTTCTGACGGAGAACAGAGTTGAAAACCTCAAGGAAGCTACCGAAGAGAATGCTAACGTGCAGGAAAACTCAGATTTCTTCTCTTGGGTGTCCATGGAGCCTTCCGTGACATAGAGAATGATCACTGGTCATGTTTCTCAAACTCTGTTCTGAAGACAGAGTTTTTCTTCCTCAGGCTAACCAAAGCACTCTGGCACAACACTAGAATTGTTCTTTTCCCAGTTTGCAAGATGAACGCCTA